GGTGGAGATTTCAGGTCCAGAGAGTACAAATCCAGACCAAGATTTTGTTTATACTCAACCAGTTGGTTGAAAATCGTGGTCTGGTTTTGTACTCCCTGGACCTGAAATCTCCACCTCTGCTGTTCACAAAACTGGGCATGAGCCACGATTACCAACAGCTACTACTCGACGAGGAGTAATCAACACGCAATCAACACACTCAAGGGAATATTTAAATACAATGGCCTGGTGTTTGGAGTGGAGTCCAGCCCTGTCATTTGCAGTGGATAATGGGCACTTTACTGCAAGAGATTCCACATGTAGCAATATGTCTTGATGATATTTTGGTCACAGTGGTCACTGAGGCAGAGCATCTGGCTATAATCCAGCAAAGGTGTGTTCCTGACATGAAGTGTGATCTAATTGGGACATAAGATAACAGCAGAGGGGCAATGCCCAGTGGAGGACAAAGCGAGGGCTATTGAGGAGGCCCAAGCCTATAGAGTGTCACTGAACTCAGATGATCTTAGGGAATGAGGAATTACTATGGCAATTTCATCCTGACTATTCAAAAAATTTTAGCCCACTTTGCAAGCTGCCTTGCAGTGACACTGCAAGTGACAGTGAGGCAAAGAGCAAGAGGAAGTCTTCCAGGAAGTGAAAGAACTCCTTCAGCTGCTTGTTCACTATGGCGCAAAAGTAGAGAGAAAGCAGGAGAAGCAGAAGGAGGGACATGACCACCATGCTCCAGAGAGAGTGTAAAAACCAGATGACAATGTCTACGTGAGAAACTTCAGAAGTAGCAGCAGTCAGCAGTGGCTGCCTGGGTTTATACTAAGGCAGAGTGGTCCAGTCTCCTATGCTGTTAAGCTGACAAACGTGTTTTTCACAGACATCAGGATCATGTGCACCAGTGACTTTGCCAAAGACACAGAGAGACGCCAGCAGAGGTCATTGTGTCCCCTAAAGAGGACTGACATTCTCACATGGACATACAGAATCTTCACATACCCCCAATGCCAGATCCACCCAAAACCCTCAGCAGTGGTGCCTGCAGTATCACTGGGGCTTGTTGACAGATCAGAACACACATGCAAACCTTCTGAAAGACTGAATATTTGATTGTACAGCCTTTCATTTCTGTGGTAGACTGAATGTCGAATTTGAGATGTTTCTCATATGCAATGTATTAGCAAATTATTGTTGGAATACTGGTGTAATGACACCATTGTTTTCCCCCCAGTTCATTTTTCATTTTCGGAATGTTGGAATTTAAAGGGGGAGAAATGTTGTAGAGTGACTTTTTTTTTTTTTTTTTAAATAAAAGTTAACAATAATAGTGGTAAATTAGCCATACCCCCACTGGGGGGTGCTGTTGATACATAGAGGTTGTTTTCTTGGGTTATTCTCTGCCTTGTGCCCCTAGCCTCTGGGACAGCTTCTGTACCCCCGTGACCTTGAGTAGGACAATCGGACACACAAAATGGATGGATTCTTCTTGGGGAAACAAAACCGACACTCCTACTCCAGGGACGTCACTATGAATTATTTCTATAATCATGTAATCTACCGATTCATCTGACGATTCAAGTAATCATTTATAATGAAATACAGGTCGTCGTTGATTTATGACCGCGATCGGTTCCAAAATCACCACACCTACTCTAGTCTCACATTAGGAAAATATCCAAAATCATGAAAAAATTGTCCTTGCGGAGATTAGGCATGTACTATTTCATCATAAAGTAAAGGGCTTCAGGGATCAGATGCATCTTTTTTTCTGCATTCAGCTCTAGTTAATTGTCATTGCCATTAGATTTGACTTGATGAGTTAAAAATGTAATGTACTCATATATTTAAATTGCTGTCAATCCATGTCCAGTCCTCAGACTCCTCTCTACCTTAAACAAACGCCTTAAGGCCCATCTGTCCCATGAACTCCTTTACTGACCTGATTGTTCAGCATGTTGCACATGCTGGCTGTTTTGGACAGTCTTATTAGTCCTTATTTTGTTAATAGCGTCTGCTAGATATGTAAATGAAATATAATTGTAAATTCAAAATAAAATAAATTGTAAAACTGAAAACTAAGTAGGACTGTCACCATCGATTATAACAATCTATTGATTAAAGTGACAGCGTAATCGTTTATAGTATAATACAGGTCTTCGTCGACTTACGACCGCTATCGGTTCCAACTGACCAGTAAGTTGATTTGATCTGGAATTCCCATCACTAAATGTTGCAAAAATTATCAAATGTATAGTATACTGTATGATAAAATTATACCTTCTTTAAATCATGCTGTTTGGTGTTTTTTAGCCTTTTAATGATAATTTTCTTGTGGGGATGCTAGCGCTGCTGGCAGTTGGGGTGGACACTGTCATACACTTATGCTGGGCAACAAGGTGCAGCCAGACATGACGTCGTCGTGGCCACATATTTGTGGTCTCAGAATGGTCATAAATTCAATCAGTCGTGGGTCGCATAGGTCAAGGAAGACCTGTATAATAATATAATATAATATAATATAATACATATATTGCAATTGGTGCTAGGGTTGCAAAATTCTGGAAATTTTCAGAGTTGAAAACGTTCCATGGGAATTAATGGGCATATATCTGAATAAACTGGAATAAACTGGAATTTGCTAAATTGTAGGTTAGCCTATAACAGGGAACTTAAATGTAGTTGAAACAAAAAATCATTTGACAGCACTAATATTGTTTTGTGTAACCAAGTGCTTGTAATTATGTGTGCATAAAAACACCCCAAAATAAGCATCTCCATCAAAATGCACTGCTTTTAAGTCATATTCTATGTTGTATAATTCATACAGTTTGCTTTCTTTGCCGTACTTGACAGCGCGTGCAGCTCGTGAGTTTAGTATTTCCAAAATTCCCCAGCTTAACATCTCATGGAAAGTTTCCAGAAATTTTTCTACCCTACCTTTACTGGTGGACACTCAGTCACACATATCGAAAATGCACTCCATTTAAGTCATTTAAACCTTGGTTAAAATAATTTTAAATCATAAATATTGCATATCTAATAGCAGCATACAGGAAGTTACTGCAGATACAGGCTATATATTACACCAGTAGATGGTATATTTTAGTCACCACCAAGGTTCAGCTCTCTCGTTCAGTAACCTATTTGAGTATCTCACTCACTAGCTCACCAACTTGTTCACTCTCTTGTTCAGAACGAGAACGAAAAACCCAAAGGAAGATTCCTTCGGGTCTCTTGTTCTCGATATACATGCACAAATACGAGTCACAGGTCAAAACATTGCTAAATGTAGCTGAATTATAAACTCCAGAAATGGCACTAAATGGAGAGCCATTGGGGAGTTGAAACAGTAGGCTCTTATTCTGGAACTGAGCCAAATGATATGGCTCACTAAAAAGAGATGGAATTCCCATCACTAAATGAAACCCGGTCGTTTGTTCACAGTATGAGCATACGTTTAGTCCCAGGTTTAGTTTCTAGCCAGTCAAATGCTCACTTTCAGTACACTCTTACATGCCTCACTGGGTCTCGTTGGCCATAGTCGTGAAGGGAAGCAGCTGTCAAATCATATTTCTGAGGACAAGCAGAAGAACGAAAAGAATGAGGCCACATCCCAGAACCCTTATTTGCACCACCCTCCCTCACCACCTTTCCTTCGCCCTGGAAGATTTCCTGAATTCCAGATGTTGAAATGCTGTCCCAGTACCTTAGGGAATGAGTCATTGAGGGCTGATTTTCACTCAAATGACCCCTACGCCAGGGGTGTGAGGAAGTCTAGTTGAAAGTACCCTTTACGGAAAAGAAATTCACCTTTGGTGACACCTACGCATAATGTGGCATATAAGTTTTTACTTCAGTGATGACTTCATACATACAGGTAGAGCATGGGTAAGTCACTGCCTTTTATCTACCGTATTTTCCGCACTATAACACGCACTGCATTATAAGGCGCACCGTCAATCAGTGGTCTATTTTCAAACTTTTTCCACATACAAGGCGCACCGGACTTTAAGGCGCTTTAAGCAAAACAAAAGAGTCAGATAAGCCAGTCAACGAAAATTTATTTTACATCACGTGTTCACAATGACTGTCAACATTGTTCAAACATTTATGAGCGTCTTCACTACTCTTTAACACGTAAAAAAACAAGAGTCTTATACCGCTAAATCAAAAGTCAGCCTATTAACAATAACTCAAAATTGAACACTTATAATACGGTCCTATACCGCTAAATCAAAAGTCAGCGTACTCGTGAAATTGTTAATTTATAACACGTGAAGCACTACACAATACACTCACTTTTCAATACTAAAACATTCAAATCGCTTCGAGTTCAGTATGCACAACAGAAATTAATCCATGTTTAAAGCGCACTGGATTATAAGGCGCACTGTTATTTTTTAAGAAAATCAAAGGCTTTTTAGTGCGCCTTATAGTGCGGAAAATACGGTACCTTCCTCGCTCACTTACTAGTTCCTTCCCCCATAAGCTTCATGAACTTTCAACTTTAGACGGCGATTCATCGAGGGAGGGAGTGAGGAAGCTGTCAAAAAGCAGTTTTGGGATGTAGCCCAAATGTTTGCAGGGAAGTGAACATGAGTATATAGTTCCTGTAAGGGACTTGTTCCCTGCAAACAAATCGTTTGCAAATGTCACAGCATTAGGCATTTCATGCACATGCAATTGTCACATTGCAGGGATTGCGAGAGTCTGCTGCATTCAAACCACCAATTACTTGCACTAAAACATTTTTAATTAGTCATAGGAAACCAAACTTAGCAAGCTTTGTAATTTTAATGATGGTTCCTTTTCAACATTATTTAGTATATGTTTAAGAAAAACAGTGTAAAGTTTACCACCACTGGTTTCGTATGAGCTCTGTTCAATAATAATAATAATAATAAAGTTCAATACTGAAAAATACAATCAGCAGCACTATGCACTTCTTGCTTGCATAAACATTAAAATAATAACATAGCAAATACCTATGTAAACAAAAGAAAACCATATCAGTTCAGCTATTTACTGTATTTCAAATACAAATAATCCTGTCACATCATATAGCTATACTGGAAAATCCATACAGAAGAAGGAAACAAAGTGGCCTAAGCTGTTTTGTTTCAAGAATATATAAATACAAACGTACAGAATTCATTCTCAGCAGATGGACATTCAACTAGGTCTGACGCTGACGCAAAAGCCAGCTTCTCTACGCCATCACACCACTGCCATGTTGTGCTTTTAACTAGAGCAGGTTAATCTGAAAGCTTCAGTTTACATTACTGAGAAATTATTAGTAAGTAGAAGTGGTTGGTGGTCATGAAGTAAATCCAAAGGATGACCAAGCCAGACTTAGTCCACTTAAAAGGCTGAAAAATTGCCATCACTACCTTGTGCCATATTTTTACGGACACAAAACAAACCCAAGTTGCACGCAGTGCCAGTGTGCTTGTGTTTGGGAAACTGTCGGTAACTTTGTTTGATGCTGGACAAGTTTTTCTAAGTGCCATATTCAATCACCGTTTTAATAATTCAAATTTGAAATGGTAATACTAACCATGTGGAATTTTACCCTGAAACCAGTAACCATTTCATCCCTGGTACAAATTAAAGATTGATTTGGGGGACAGATAGTGAAATAAAAACATGTTGGGGGCTGGGGGAGTCAGATGTTAGATGGGCTGGTAGTTTGAGACCCCTGATCAAAATCATTCATGTCCTTGTTGTTGTCACTCATAGATCTTGTGGCGCGTTTATGAGAATTTAAACAAAAATAAGTGAAGAGGGGAAACACAAACAGGAACAGGCCATGACATGTATTCCATAGAAATGATACTGAGCAGAAGCCAGTGATTTGTCGGCTCTGCTTTGTGTCTTGGTATAACTCAGGGCATCACTAAGTTATTTGCCAGACACTTTTGTAATGTTTCTTCTCGCTCTATATTTCATTTTCAACTCCAAAATAATCACAGAAACTTCAAATATTATAATGCAAACTTCTTCCAGAATCATCCAGTCCTAACATACAATGCATTCACAAAAATGAGTAATTGGTTACATGCACCGCATTACGTAAGATGATCATACTAAGCTACATACAGGGATTGTAGAAAGTAAATTAAGCAAAATAATTAAAGTGAAAGTGATGACAGACAGACTAGGCTACTCAGAGAGGCCAAACGGCACATACCAATGGCTAACCCATATTGCTGGGTTAGTCTGTCACACCTGAATTTCTTCTAACACGTATTTGCATTGCATGTAGTGCAATTTGAGCTCTGCTTTGCAATACTGACAGACGACTGCATTTTCATTCACTTTTAATATGAAGTTCTTGATGCTTTGGATCCTCATCCTCTACACACCACCTTCTTTCTGTTGTATTGCTGAGTAATTAGGAACATTTTGATCAATGCTTTCTAATAATCGAGTTTAATCGAGTAACCAAATAATCGAGTAATCGAGTTTAATCGAGTAGTCGTGACAGCTCTAGAACTAAGGTTGCTGGGATTACCACATACTGCGAGTTGACAAGTTGTGAAACCTGGTTCCCAGTTAAACCGGATGCTCATGGGAGTTTTACTTGTACAAAAATGTTCAGATTACAGACTGCACCAATAAGATTGCTGAGGAGGTGGGTCCAAGTAACTAGAGGAGGCGGGACCAACCAATCTGATGTCTTGGTACCACCTCCTATAGCTGCTTGGACCCACCTCTACATTCTGATTGGTTATCTCTCTGAAACAATAATTTTTCCTTCTGCACTTCATATATTTTTGGCAAGTAAAACTCCCACAAGCGAAATTGACGGGTCAGAGCAGCTGGTGTCTGGCAGTATCTGCCTTTAGAGATAAAATGAAGGGAGTTTGATTCTGGAATGGCTGACACTTTGATGTTTATTGTAAAAGATGCATGTGAAGCAAGCTCAGATATAGCTGACTGATTCTATGTTATTAAAAAGATGTTTAATGTACCTGCGTGTGTAGCTCTCCAAGCAGCACATACATGAGAATCTGCTGTGAAAACAAATATTTCAGTTTTTATCTGCAAGTCCTTAGCTGTCGGTCAGATTCTGTGGGTTTTGCTTTGTGTCTCCCAGTCTGTGTTTGTGTGTGCAGGGGGGGGTTGGGGTTCCTTGTTCTCTCCTGTCCCTCTTGTGTGATCGTGTGATCAGTCTCTCTCTCTCTCTCTCTCTCTCTCTCTCTCTCTTACACACACACACACACAGTTTCACGTTCATTTTATCAACAGAAGCGCAGTCTGGTCTCTGCCTCAAACTGCTTCTCTTCCTCCTCTGTAATGAGGTTTCCTTTCACACTGCGGGGGGAGACAACAAAAGTATATTGCACTGCAGCAGCTTCTGGGTCTGGATACCATAAAGAAAGAGGACATTTACAACCACAACCGCTCCCCACCATGATGTCTTACAAACGGCAGGGATGCCAGGACGCGCGGTCAGTGCCCCCCTCCGCTGAATAGGGAAGCGCCACTCACCAGATCTCCTTCAGAGTTGTGTTGTGAGTCAGTGCCTCAGCCAGCTCCTTGGCTCCCTTGACCGTTAGCTTGTTGTTCATTAGCCTGCGGGGGAGATGTGGAGAGATTGTCCAATCAGGCCTGTCTGCATTCCACATTCATACTGGAGAAATTAAACCCCCCCCCAACCCTAAAAGAACAATCCAGTTATACCAAACTCTGCTATTTTACCTTCATTTTGGTGAGAAAATAAACAAATGAAAATACAACCTGAGATTAGATTTAAGTTTATGAAGGATATTATCATTTTTATATTTTAAAACGCCTGACATTTGACAGTAAAGATTTCTAAAATGAACTTTTGTAATTGACTAATACTAGGAACAATTACTCAGCAGTTACTGCTTCCAAAAAAAACCAAAAAACTGATGACTCATTCTCAGGATAACCACTCAGCCCCGTTCCAGGAGGCTTTCAGCGTTTGTGTGTCCTTCAGATCATAACACCAGCTATCCCACCAGAACTGATCGGTGCCCCACATGAGATCAGGTCCTCACATGAGATGGGTCAGTCCCATGTTAACCCGGACTGCTTCAGCCAGGGTGGTTGCCGCCTCGTCTGAGAGCTCGTTCTGGAGCATCCTAGGAAAGCGAGGCACACAGAAGGCAGTCAACCCAGACACGTTCACACTAATCATAATACAGTGGTACCTCGGTTCTCGAACTCACTAGAACTCGAATTTCTTGAAAGTCGAACAAACCAGTTTACCAGACCTAGAACTCGATCTGAATATCAGAAGTCGAACCGTGAACGCTGACCTAATATAAACTGTACGCACCAGGAAATGAGTCATACGACAATGCAATTCTTACTTGAATGCCTTCTTCACAGACTGGACGATTAACCAAATAACATTACATTAACTAACAATAAATAAACCACTAACTTACGTGTACTATTAGAGCATTTATGTTATTTATTTTAACTTTATTTTACCAGGTAAATTAACTGAACACCAGTTCTCACTGCTTTACGTGATATTGCGGGAGAAATAGCAGATTACGCATCGGAACTGCCTGGGATACAAACGTGGGGATCCCACATGGGGATCCCACACGAGGTTAACGAGGGGGCGTGGCACACGGAAGGAGCGGACGATCGGGGCAGGACAGGGGTAATGTTGGGATAAGATCTTTATCGTTTTGGAAGCCATTAAGAAAAAAATGCTCTTCTTGTTTTATCCTATTCATTTTGTGTTTAAATGCTAAAAAAAAACAAAAAAAACATATTTAGGTGTAATTTTGGGGGGCCGGGAACCAATTAATTGGTTTTCCATTATTTCTTATGGGGAAAAAATCGATCAGAACTCAAACTTTTTAGGATTCGATCTGGAGTCCGTAACGGATTAAGTTCGAGAACCGAGATACCACTGTACTCTGCTTTGTGTGCTGAAATAACCTCAGAAACAGCAGGAAACACTCCCATGAATGACATGCAAATCATGGCAGCCATTCAGGTTTATAAAGAATAACGCTAAATGCAAGAAAGGACATATAAACCAACCATAATGTTGTATATTCTAAAGCTGCGGTGTCTCTCTGTTTACAGTGTAAACAAGGAGCAACATGTATTAACGCAAGTAGCCAAAAGGCCTGAACCCCACAGTTTGTTTTGTAATTTTTACTCCAATCATTAATTCTAAGTCTGTGTATTAAAAAAGTGAGAGAGAACAGAGTAGAGTTTGTAAGCTGGTGTGATAATAATGGCCATACTTAGGCAATGCTCACCAGAAAATGTGAAGAGAGTTGTTCTCCTTGAGAGCAGCGGCCAGGCTCCGCCCCCCTTCTGAGGTGATGCCATTGGCTGAGAGGCTGAGGGGGTGTGGCAAGTCAAGACAAAGGAAATACTGGTCAGGCAGCATTTCAGTTGCTTTTATGACATGCCAAAGGAGCTGTGGCAGCCAGAGTGGCAGATAGTGACAGTGACTACTACACCACTGAAAACACAGTATGTGCAAGCAGTTAAAACAGAATGAGTAATAATGATATTATTTAAAAATAATAGGGCAGCACAGTGGCTCAGAGGTTAGCCCTGCTGCCTCACGCTCATAGAGTATGACTCTGAGCATCCTTCAATGAACTGGCATGTCATCCAGGGTATATCCCAGTATGTGCCCCACCCTCCGGGGCAACACCATGACCCTGATCAGGACCAGCGCTTTGAAGATGGATGAATTTTAAAAATGACTCAATATAACTGACATAAATTTTAATAGTCCAGTAGTGAACATAATTCATCATAAAATTCATCATAATTCATCATAAAAAATGTTTCTCTGAGGAAAGTTGCTTCTATTAATATGCAATGCGCTGCAAAAATCTTCAGCAGTCCAACAAAACTGTTAAAACTATTTGTCAGGCTAGTATGTGTACATATATTTACCCAGAAAAAAATGAATGGTGCACTGCAGCAACGCCATTCAGAGCTGGGAGTCGACCTGAACGCGTCGAGGGTGGACTCCAAGTCGATTCAGGAAGAAGTCGCTTCTGTAAAGTCTGTAGCCAATAGGCACTCCAAGGAGCTGGCTCATTTTAATAAAGGACTGCTCTCTCTCGAAAACAAAATACCCGAAATCGAAGACAGAAGCCATCGACTCAACTTGAAATTAGTTGGGGTCAAGCTTGGTCACGAGGGGAGCGATATGAGGTCGTTTTTTAGCCAGCTATTTTCCCTCATCTCCCCAACTTTCAGCCAGCCGATGACCATATGCTCGCTGGCTGTACGGCCAGCCGGAATCCTCTTCTCGCCCCCCTCCCATGCACTTCATCAACTTCCATGGCCAGCAGACAGTGATGCACGAAGTCGCCATGGATCACTTCCAGGCTCTGGGGGCTCGACCCCCACCGAGTTTGCCAGACATTTCATGTTGGTCACTGTGATTACAATGAGTTCTGTGCATTAAATTGTTCTGTTATGTGATGCTTCTAATTTTGTTTAATTACCACTTCACACTTGCTTTTAATTTCCTAATTGAATGTCTGCTGGAGTATCATTATGGTCCAGTTAGTTGCTGGTACTCTTGATGGCTTCTTTTCTGTTCTGTATAGAGGGCAGCTGCAGTGGTATGGGCTCTGTTTTTAATCACATTTACATAGAGAGGGGGGGGACACGTGTGTGGAGTTAAGTGGCTTGGCTTCGGGCACCATGTGAGCACATTTTCTGACGTTGGTCTGAAGGGTGGGGGTGGGGGGGGGGTAACCTACAGCCCCTTTTCTTTTCTTACTGCCTTTTATGGAATCGTTGCACTACCTGTCCAGAGCACGGGGTTGGGGACTTTCTGGTTTCGTTCGGGGGTGGGCTGACTGACAGCATGTTCCGTTTCTGGTGTATAGGTGGCATTGTGAGATTTTATTTACATGTTTTTTCATTTGCATCTTGCTGTTTTTTAGTTTATGTGGCTAATGTAAACATAGCTTCATGCAAAGTCAGGGCACTGAATACCCTGGAAAAAAGGTCCAGTGTGTCTGACTCTGAAAAGGCAATGTGTCGATCTTGCCCTCTTAAGAGAGACCCATTTACTAAGGCGGGATGCATTGCGCGTGGCCTCCAGCTTCTACAAGGTGGTTTCCACTTCATCAGCTTCTTCTCGGAGATGCAGGGTGATCATTCTGGTCAGGCAGTCCCTTTAGATTCATATTCTCCATTTGGGAGGGGATACTTAGGCTCCCACCCCCCCTTCACAGCTCATTCTTCCTGGAGGCTGGACCTGTCTAACCACATTCTTAAATTTCAGGAATTTTAGATTATTACTGGAACTGATGCCAATGCCATCCACATATATAAATCTCCCTCTCTCTTGGGTGGCTGGGTGCCCCCCTCCACCCATTCCTTGTGCAAATTTGTAGAGACTTCAGTTTGGTCAACTCCCTCTGCTTAATTAACCTTTCTCCTACAGAATGCTGCTTTTTCTCACCCCGCTTCAAATCTCAGTCTCGCATAGATTAAATCTTTGTTTCTTGTTTCTTGCGCTCTTGTGCCTGCCGTTTCTAATGTCTCTCAGCTTTCCTCTTCTTTATCTGGTCACAAGTGTGTTTTCCTCCAGGTAGCTGTACCTTCTCTACCTCCTCGGGTCTTGCGATGGAATTTTAATACATCTCTGCTTCAAAACTCGCACCAAGTTCATGGTACATCACATCAGGTCGTGCTATTACGTTCCTGGTGTCACGCCTAGTAAATTATTGCCTCTCAGGATTAGGCAATGTGACTCATTTTCAATGATCTCTTTATTCAAAACTAAGGATGGGTTCTCACCCCTAACCCTCAGTAAATCAACAACTGCTTTTTTCAGTTTTACTCAGATTTATTCTAGCCACCCTCTGTTCCTGATTCATTTCTTGATGCCTTACCCCTCCCCCGGCTCTCGTGTCCAGAGGCCTCTGTACTTGATGCTCCTCTTTCAATCACTGAACTTAAAGAGGCTCTGGACTTCCCTGGAGGCCAGGGAAATCTCCCAAACTTCTCTCTTCCATATTTCTGCCTCTCATCTCCATCCTGCTCTTGATTCATCCCTAATGACTTTACTGCTTAAACAAGGTAAAGACCCCACAGACTGTTCTACCTACCACCCATTGACCGCCCACTGAGGGGGCGTCTCCCTCCCAGATTTTGAACTGTACCACCTTGCTTTCACCACAATGCCAGTTTGGATCTGGATAAGCCTCCCCAGCATCCCCCTGCCTGGCTTCCTATTGAAGCAGAATATGTTCTTCCCCATCGCCTAGCCTCTCTTCCTTTTCTGCCCATTAAACTGCAATCTATCTCTGTCTCTGTTGGTCCTATTATCTCCCATGCCCTTCGTACTTGGAGAAGGATCGAGATATTGTTGGGCCCCTTCCCGAAACGGCACCCCCACACTCCATTGCTCCACAACCCTGTCCTGAACATTGGAGGCCGCCCCACCTCTAGCTCACCCTGGTGACAGTCGGGCGTTTCAACGCTGGGTAACATCTTTGACAGCTCGGGTCTCAAACCGTTCCAGTCTCTTAAGTCCATGTTTAATCTTCCTTCCTCTTCATATTTTTTCTTCCTCTAGCTGATGTCCATGCTTGGGGCTTGTAGTCTCTCTTTCTCCTCTCCTCTGCCCCCTCACCCACTGTGCAGATTTGCCTCGTCTCTTTCCCCCAATTCTAAGCCTGTGTCCAGTCCCTATTCCCTCCTCCGTAAATCCTCTCATAAACCTCTCTCCATCACTTCTACTCGGCAGAAGGAGGTCTCCCCCACCCCGGTTTTATTCTGGAGTATCATTTTTCAAAATATTAAAAATTGCTCTAAAAATCCCAGTCATCAGCAAAAACAATTTAAATTTGTTCATAGAATGCACCCCACTCCCAGGAAACACCATTTCATGGGATTAGAGCCTGATCCTCTGTGTCATCTCTGTCCCCTTCAAACCCCTGGCACTTTTCTCCATATGCTCTGGGACTGTCCTCCTGTTGCTGCTCTTTGCTGCTCTTTGGGATCATGTGACCAGCTCTCTCTCTTCAGTCCTTCCCTGTGCCATTCCTCTGCCCCCTGCAGTCCTTTTTTTTCCTGCACTTCTCTCTTTCTCGTTCCCAGCAGAGGCTCCTGATGTCCGCCTCCTTAGCGGCTAAGTTAATAGCCTCTCGCTGGAAATCTCCTGACCATGCCATTCCCTCTGTCTGGAAGTCCTCCCTCCTGAATGTTCTGCTGCTTGAACTGTCTTCTGCAGCCCAGATTAATAATTCATCCAGCTCTACCATTCAGAGTTGGCTTCAGGACGTGCCGCTAATCAAGGGCTGCCTGGGGGTCATACCCTGAGGCCATATTTCTTGAATTAAACTATTAGACTATTTTTATTTTGCCTATTTCTATATTATTATTATTATTATTATTATTATTATTATTGTTGTTACTTCTTTTTCCCCTCAACTTTCAGCTGCGCTCTGTCCCGGGCTTCGTGTGCCTGTAACCTGTACGGTTGTCGATCTTTTGCTTTTGCTTTCGCTTTTTTCTTTTATGGTGCCGTCTCAGGGTACATTGGGGGGGGGGGTGTTTTGTTGCGTTTTGTTTTGTTCTGTTCTATATAAATAAAAAATAATTCTTTAAAAAAAAAAAAAAAAAGTAAATACACCAATTTGGTTCCCAAAACTCCCCAGGGGCACCCCAGCCATTCCATGTATCCATTAAATGTCACCACCAGCTCACTTAAATAAATTAACATTATTAGTTAAATAACATGAGTGTGTGCGTCCTGTGGTGTGTTGGCACACGCCCAGGGTTGGTTCCCGCCTGCACCCATTGTTCCCGGGATAGGCTCCGTGGCCCCCCCCCCCCTCGCGACCCCAGGGGGATTAAGCGGTTACGATAATGGATGGATGGATAGTTAAATAACTAAATAAAGTAGTAAGTAGTATTTGGCTAAAAATACAATAACATACATGGGTGTATTGGATGGTTGCTGCAAATAGTGGGGTGACTTTAGGAGAGGGTTTGAAAGGACTAAGCTGACACACTTCACCACACATATCACACTTTTACACCCATATGAAGGTCATTTAAATGTCATTTTCTTTGACTGCCTAAGACTTTGGCACAATACATATATATATATATATATTATAATAATTTGCTCAATCTAATATTGTTGTGTTGGGTACCTGTGGGGCAGGAGATGGGACGGGGTGGGGGGGGGGGCAGCTCACCTCAGGTTGGTCAAGCTGGGGTGGTTCTTTAGTGCCTCTGCGAACGCTGTGGCCCCCTCGTCTCCGATGGGGTTACCCCACATCCTGCACACAGGAAAGCACCGTGAAACACGGCCCCCCAGGTCCCATGGGGAACAGCAGCAAAGGCGGTGTTTTTTTAACATTACCCAATATCAAAGATGGTTTTGCTCTTCTGAACCGCACTGGCCAAGCACTTCCCCCCTACATTGGTGATTTTGTTACACCCAAGTCTAAAGAGAAAGTGCCAGGAAACATCGTCAGAACACAAACTGCGTGCCATTTGTTTAGTGTCGCCATCTTGTCTTGAAATGTGCAAACTACCAAGGGCTTAGTTGTTACATAACATCTAACGGTTCCTTTTTCTGGCTGGTAAATATCGGAAGCCAGACGTTTTCACATTAGAATGTGTCACTATGCAATTCCTGTTATCTGCAGTTTGGCAGATATACCAGACATCTGCCAAAACCAACACCTAATGTCACAGTGTAATTGTGCCAGCAGCCATTCAGCATTTGTCTACAGATAACTCCATTCCTCATATATCAGCTCCATTCCTCAGATACCAACTTCCCATAGAAACCATATCACGTTAGTGACACATTTTCAGATGGTAGATTCAAGGGAAAATCTCTGTTAAAGACCCAGTATCATGAAGAGTGTACTTATGAAAGCAAAGGCCCCATCACACACTCTAAACCATGCTAGTGTGTATCGGAACAATAAGCTACTGGATATATCAAAAGATACGGGTAATTTTTATCATTATAATTATATATTCCGCCCAGATTTACAGAAGTTAATGAAGTGTACATGAAATTACACATGCGACATTTGAGTGACCAGTCTTGATACTAAAATTATATTCTCTAAAATTTAGCTTTTTAATAATTACAGAAATGTGCACATACATTATTTATAATATTTGTTATTACTAACCACATATAGCAAAACAGACCGAAGTTTAAAAAACAGAACATACTTGACAATTCTCAAACTTGGGCATTGCTCAATGATCTGAGCAATCAGTTTAGCTCCAACATCTGTGATGTGATTCTTGTAAAGTCTGTGTAATAAAACATTTGATTAAAATATGGCAGCATGTTCTCACAACCAAGGGGGTTCTTTTTAAGCAGGGTTAAACATTTGCTTTTTGACTCACTGGCCAAGGTGTCTGGTAGATGAATAAAATCCACTGGCCAAGCCTAATTTTTTCACTGGCTAAAATAATGAATTTCCTTTTTGTGTCACTCATGCATTTGTTTTCATTTTAAAGGTTGGCTTACGACTTGTAAATATCGCTACATCACTTTTATTTGGCCTGACGGTAACTAGCAGCAGACTGGCAGCAAATGATAGTTGCCCACATTCCATGAAGAGTTGCTCCTACTCTGCCTCTGTTGTTCATTGTCTGGTTGCGGTTTTCGTCAGATGGTTAGTTAGATAGGCTTAGATAAAAATGCCATGCTCAAAAGAGGAACTTAGAGCAGGGCCGGGTCTTCACAGAATCTGTGTGTGTGTGTGTATGTGTGTGATTATATGACCCCAGGAATGTGATAAAAATCTGTTATTTTGATGTTGCGGGGATCTTTTTTTTCTGACTGCAATCAAAAAACTAAAAATGCCAATAGTCATGTATTTTGTTTGGTTACTTATGGTTAAGGTTAGGGATGGGTAGGGGTCAAGGTTGTCATAGTTGGTATTATGGTTATACCCATTGAAAAGAAAGGATGGTTCGCACAAAGATATGAATACAAATGTGTGTGTGTGTGCGTGCGTGTGTGTGCACGTGTGCAAATTACATGCAGCCTCTCAGACGATAGTGTTTTATTACATGACTGGTAACACTCTACTTGATGGGGCACAAACAATATAGTATTATACTATAACTTATGAATTAATTAACCACAAACCAAGTCTAAGTTGCATACTGATCTCATGTTAATTCAACATTAATGAATTGTGATGTATGTTTTATCTCAAGTTCAACTATATTTGTTCAGGATTTGTTCATAATTTGTACAATAGTAACTGAGTTACTACTAAGTATTTGTGTCCTGTCAAGTTAACTGTTAACATGTGACTTTTAGTACAAACATTGTCCTGCTAGTGTGGCAATAAGTCTCTTGGGATTTACTTGCCAAACTGAAAATCTACCGTCATTTGGCACCTGCTAGATGTCAATTTGGCACCCTGTTTATAAGTTAATCATTGGGGTGACATCACTGACCAGAGCTGATATGTGTATTGACCTACCCCAGGACTGTGACCACTTTATACTTCACCAACTCCTCTGCAAGCACTTCCATGCTGCTGTCTGTGACTTGGTTGACGCACAGCCTGAAAATGGAAAGAGACAGTCTTCCTCAGTGCTGCATGCTTCTACACAGGCAGGAAATTGGCCAACTTTAATGGTCGTTGAGTCGACAGCTACCCCTGCCCTTGCTTCCTTATCTTCCTCTTTTAGCCCCAAGGTATGGCATTGACTGACCTCACCACGGTCATCTTGCTGAATGATGGGCGCAGTTGCTTGACGCCATAGTCGCCGATGTTGTTGTTGTCCATGTCCACGCCCAGATGCTTGCGGTGGTGGTGCAGCACAAAGTTGAGAGCTCCACAGTCGGAGCAGAACATGTTGCAGTAGGCCAGCTTTATGTAGTCAGCGGAGATGCCCCTGGCGGCCAGCCGGGCCACGTCCTCGCTGGCGGTCTCGAAAATGCAGCGTAGCATCCACAGGAAGTTGCCCATCACATGTACCTTCTTGCCTCCGGTCTCACCTGTGTAGCGTGGCAGGCCCCGCATATGTGACTTCACGGTTTTGGAAAAGTAAGATTTGAGAACTCCCCTCTTCTTGCGCAAAGAGGCCGGGGGAAGCAGGTGCTCCAGTAGGCTGCCATTGGGCTTAGAGAGCAGTCCGCATAGGAAGAGGTTGGTGAACTGGAGATGCTCATTCGCCTGAAAGGGGTCACTCTCACGGGGCTTGGAACCCCCAAGGCATGGACCACAGGAGAAGCGAGACTCTTTCCGGTATTCACACTCAGCAAAAAACTCCAGGATCTCCCTGGACTTAATTTCCTCTTCCAGTATGAGGCCAAAGGCAGCCAGGAAAGACTGCAGGGTTACGTGCAGGAATTCAAAGGTGGCAGGTTGAACACAGCCATCATAGTGGTCGACCGGCCTCAGGAAGCCTACCTGCAGGTCATCATCACTGATGCCACATTCAGAGATTTCATTATAATCAAACACAAAGCTGCCCCTCCGCATCCCAAGGAGGGCCAGCTTCGCCACAGCTGCCAAAACCCGAAGTCCTGCTTTGAACATGTCACTGGTACAGCGGGTGCTCTTCTTCAGCATGCTGGGGCTGGACAAGCGGCTGAGGAAGACCTCAGACAGCAGCAGGAAAACTTTGGTGATGGTCACACAGCTTTCAGGAAGCTCATAGTCATCATACATGGCGCGGAAGTGCTTGAAGCTCTTAAAGATGATCCAACAGAACAAGGGGATGGAGCACAAGCTGCAGAGGTGGGGGTTAGCCTCCAGCTGCACAGACACCTGGTCCCTGTACTCCCTCTCTGGGAAGTGCAGGGTGGTGTATCGCTTGAGGTGCTCTGGGGAGAACCCCTTGAGAAACACTTTCTTTTTCAGCACCCGACTTTCAACCTCAGTTCCTGTTCGAGCAGTGAGAATTTTCAGGGATCCCTTGAGCAACTTTCCACTGAGAAGGTTCATGAGTAGTAGGAGTGGGTGGGTCTTATCTTCTGGGGACACCACCTCAGGCATGTTACCCAAGTCGAAATCAGGGTTTAACTCATCGTAGCCATCAAATGTGAAGAGCACCGTCTCGGGGAACCTCTGAATATAACTGAAGATCTCCCCATCTGGATCATTGTCTGGGTAGCAATTGTGCTTGAATAGGAGGTCCTTCAAGGAGATCTCATCTGTCTCTTTGAAAGAACTGAACATCCTACATCGGAACTTGAAGAAAAATTTGGCCCCAGTCATCAGCTCCCTTTTGGACCATAGGTTCTGCACCTTCTGGAGCAGGATTGACTTGCCAATGCCTGCATCGCCAGTTATTAAGACAGTTTCAGCATGCTTGTTGAAGGCCCCAGTGTCGTCCAGGAGTTGCTCCATGCTATCAACATAGCTGAGGCTCTCGTTGCGTTCATTGAGCATCTCCATCAGGGTGTCTGTGTACATGTCCTCCAGAGGGATCTCCTCCTTCTGGGAGTAGGACACCATAAACTGGGTGTCACGTCCCAGCTCATGTCGCAGCTTCTCAGTGTATCTGCTGACTGCAAGAGAGCTTTGGCTCAGTGTACATTTTTAAATCCAAAGAGGGCTTCAAAAGAAACTCAGTTGGATACTCAGTGTAGCAAGCCAGCTTTTTTTTTTTTTTTTATACAAATGCTTCTCGATTTATGATGAACCCAAGTTGAATATGAATATCATATGGCATGACAAAACTGGGAATTTAGTAGACATAATGGGTTTGGGGAAATTTGGTTAAAAACAGGAAACACACCATACAATACATTGCTAAGTATTGTATGAGATGTTTAAGCTTGCAATTGCTATACCTACACAGACTTGATGCGTGGCTGGGAGGCTGCTACCATTACTGAGCATTGAATGACATATCGCTAACATGGGAACAGATCAAAATTCAAAGTGTGATGACTACTAAATGGGCATTGCTTTCATACCGTCATATAGTCGAAATGCCGTATACCATTCAGCTACTTATAATTACTTAAGTTATACAGATGTTATGTTATCAGTTCATCTGCTATAATTTCAATACGCAAATAAATAATTTGCTGCAAAACCCTGGTCCTTAAGGGTGTGAAGTTGACTTACTTGGGTCAGTGTTATGCACTGGTATTTGCTGGATGAAGCTGGAGGGGTCATACTGGACATCCTTAAGCCAAGGCTGTAGGTCAATAAAGGCGTCGCAGATCTTGTGAAGAATGTACACAAAGTATTCCGAGGTTTCTTCCCCTTTGCTTTGGACCAGCTCCAGGATTTTACGCACCTGGATAATATCAATTTCAAGCTGATAAAGTTCTGGGAAAAGCTATTTGAAGCCCCATGGTGACAAGCAGAGGACCACGTGGTGAAAAGGTATGTGTCATCTGCCTGTGTGTGCGCAGGGAATGCAAGTGTGGCCTACCTGGTCAGGCTTAGTAGGGGTACGTAGTACAATCTCTACATCCTCAGAGCAGAAGAAGCCACTGCGTTGGAAGTTGTCCAGAATGCACTGGACATTCTTCACCTGATGCACCAGCAGTTCCCTGTGCACTGTGAGCAACCTGTAGGTGGACACAGGGCCTCTGGAGGTCACCTCCATGCCTGGGCCGCACAGCGTGGCAGCAGCTGGCCCACCCTCACCACTCACATGCATGGGATGCGTCTATTGTCATCTCAAAGTGAGTGAAAGCTGGCAGGAAATGAGAAATAGAACTAATTGATATTTCTCTTTGTTAATGGTTAACTGAAATGTTACACTACAAGAATGCATCTACAGAGTATAGTACAAAAGTAATAAAGCATATTACAAGGTACACAGAGCTAGCTAATGTGTTATCCAGGTTTCTGGCATATAATCTGCTTTAAATTGTTTAATTGTACAGTACTGCATAGAATATGCCTGGTTGTTGCAGCACTGCAAATTCTCTCACTGGATTAAAAAAAAGTAGCTGTTGATTTATATACCAGTTGGGGATAGATGCAGTATTGATACCATTTGTAACACAGTGGTTCCCAAACTCAAGCTGAGGGCTGCATACTGCAAGCAGACTTAAATGTCCAAAATCATAATGTGGTAGGATTGGCCTGTCCATGATCTACAAATGTGCTCTGAATAAGTTGTTACCAGTAAGAGGCCTATAATCTATATGTTGCAACCACTGCAAGATTCAGGTCCTTCAAGATGAGTATATGAACTTGATTTTGTTTATTAAATGTACATCCATCAACCTTCAAGTGAACCATGCTATTACACCCTACATTAGATGCCAGATCCACCAAACAACTTTGATACCATCATAGTTAAACACTTGGTCAGAAATAAAATCCTGACATTGATTAAAAGGTTAAAGGTTTCAAAAACTTCAGGCAGATAAATTCAAAAGGTAATGTTTAAGTTAATCAAAGTAATTGACATTATGGGGAACTTTATAGGCGAAGTTTCCGTAGTGTAGTGGTCATCACGTTCGCCTAACACGCGAAAGGTCCCCGGTTCGAAACCGGGCGGAAACATGTTGCTGAAGTACACAAGTGTTTTTCCCCTGGGATCATTAATGTTGTGCTTGCCTTATCTTAAAGAACCCCCGAAATTCACTTCTTCACATAAATTCTAGGCTTTCAGATGGTGAAGCGAAACTAAACTTTCATTTTGTCAAAAGACACAAAGCCGAAAGCGTAACCTGATGAGTACATATCTACCTTTCTATGCATTCATTTATCCAAAACGGAACGTTTTAACACGGACAAGAGCAAGCGGATGTAATGAATGCTCAGTCTGTCACATATAATGCTATTAACTACCTTATATATAATGTTTCTTGTTGAACTAGCCATATACCAAAAAACTTACCAGAGAGCGCAGCAATATTGCTCCAAAATCCCGAAGAGAAAACCACGCCCCGTAGCGCAGATGAACTCTCATGATCAAAATCATTGGCCAATAGAATAAGCGCGCTGATTGGTCACACGGCAGGCGCTAATACAAACTGTAGTGCGAGTTGTAGTGCAGTATTGCTTTCATCTTGCACGTGAGGGAAAAAACTAGTTTCTTCGTGTGAAAGAGGGCTATCTGAATTTAATTAACAACAAATATTGATTCGACTATATGGAAGATATAGTTGACCCATGGTTTAATTTGGGATTTGTCATGTTAGCTGATTTGCTTCATTTACCACCAGATCCAGTGATATAAGTTTGACTCGCTAATTTTCTCGCAAATTCAGGTAACAGCATAAAAGATAAATCGCTATTGACAGTTAATTAAATTAGTTTATTTAAAATCCCTCGCTTATAAATGTGTTATAATAAATTATTGTCTATTTTTCTCTTACCATACAGTAGGCTCACACAAGGGTTACGCCTCTATGTATTTAATTTCTACCTAAGTGTGTCGTGTCAATGACCTACACAAGTATACAGTGACATTTTTCAACTTTTTGATTATGAATTAAACATTGATATGAGCTGATACGAATAGTGCAAACCGAAACAAACTTGAAAGTGAGAGACATCGAGCAGGGAGCAGTGTTGCTTATAGAAAATCACGAGATTACCCAGCCAGTTCGTTTCTATCTATTGGCAGGACTAATAAACACTCAGAAACATTTAAATTTTTGCATTTATGTTGACTGCGGTGTGTGGTTGCACTTAGTCTGTTGAGTCTGGAAAGTTGCTAATTATAGCAGCAAAAACCACCATATTATCTGTTTAAATTAATTCATTTTGATTGAAATGTTCAACATCCATCAAACACTTTGTCTTCTCCTCTATTCTTTTCAAACTTAATCTGAGAAATTAAAATTAAAAATGATAATAATGAAAATAAAAAATAACATAATGAATTTTTCAGAGCAGTAATTAAATAAAAATAGTAAATAAAATAAAATCCAAGGGTCTATTTTCTACACTATTAGTTTTTTTTATGACTGCTTACACAGTACAATTAAAATTTCCCCAAAATGAGCAAAACCTGACACTCAACACCAGCCCAGATTTGCACAACTATAAGCACATTGTCAGCTTCACACTTTTTGCAAAACAGTACACAATGTGATTTGCAAAACACTAAACACACTTGTATACATTTGACACAGAAATATATCATGATGTCACTTCCTTGAAATTTCAAAGCAAAAGCTTTCGAGTGAACACACCCATGATCCAATTGGTTAAACACAGCCAGCAGGTGTGCACACACACAGGTGCATAATTATAGACACACCAATCAGGTTTACAAGCACTATAAAAAGGCAACAGGTCACCTGTCTTCAACAAAAAGGGACGGTGTCAGAGGAAGAGTGCGGATGAAAGGAGGAATCCAGAGAGAACAAGGAAGAGGAAGAGCTGGAGGAGGGGTAGGACGTGCACAAAGAAAACGACAACCAAATCTGTCTAATAAAATTCATGCTACACCATACAATAAACCACGGCCTACCATTGAGGGAGGCTGGACTGAGTACAGCCTAACCTAAGCAGGTACACGGTGACATCAGCCTAACCTAAGCAGGTACACGGTGACATCAGNCAGCCTAACCTAAGCAGGTACACGGTGACATCAGCCTAACCTAAGCAGGTACACGGTGACATCAGTAGTTCAGACATTTTGTCAAGAGCACAGGTGAGAAACTTTGGTTTGGTTTGGTTTGAAACACATTGGTTTCATCTCCCAGCCAGCTGGTGCAGCTCCGCCGGTACCTGGTAACACGGCCGGGTGGATCAGGATGATAGTGGACCCAAGTCCACCAGGACTCGGCAGAATGTCTCAGCTACCAGGTGGTCAACATACAAGCCCGTAGCCTCACCCAGCTGGCCCACTCTAGGTGCGGCTGTTGAGGTTAGACTGGCATACCTTGTGGGCGGTGCCTCCCTCACAGCACCACCCACCTGCCGTTTCCTGGTTGCTGCTCGGTGCAGCTTCTGCACAGTGTGGCTGGCGACCAGCACGATGTTGCAAGTGGGGACAGAATTTCCACGGCTCTCTCCAGCTCCACCAAGGCCTCGGCGAGTGTGGCCGGCACCCGCGATTGGATATGCTGGTCCAGCCGCTCAGGCGTTAATGCCTTGATAAATGCACACTGAGCCAGCGCTTACTGTACGGCGCCGGGGGAGTCCAGGTAGCCCCTCCACGCAGGGATGTGGAGGTTCGCCCGAAACACCCCCAGGGTCTCACCATCCCACCTTTGCTGGTTTGCCAGCTCTGCCCTCTCCGCCTCCACAGACCCCCCCTCCAGCACCTCCCCCCGGGGCGGCGAGATTTTAGCTGCTCATTGGGGTTCAGGCTGAGGAGAGCTTGGAGTGTCCCCCCCTCCAGTGCCAACACCAAGTGCAGCACCGTCTCCCCCTCACTCCAGCCATTGTGCCGGGGGGCCAGGCGCACTTGGACCAGGTAAGTGTGCTGGGGCTCCTTCCTCCCATAGCATGGGAGCCTCGCCATGGGCTTCACCCCCCTCTCTGATGCCAAATACCTACAAAGAGTAAGGCAAGTCCTAAGAAGTCAGCTCAATGGCAAGAAGAAGATCCGGGCAATAAACAGCTACGCCCTGCCAGTAATCAGATACCCTGCAGGAGTAACAAGCTGGCCGAAGGAAGAAATACAGACCACAGATGTTAAGACACGGAAGCTCCTAACCATGCATGGAGGGTTCCATCCCAAGTCCAGTACCCTGAGACTGTACACTAGCCGTAAGGAAGGAGGGCGAGGACTAGTGAGCGTGAGAGCCACTGTCCAGGATGAAAGAATAAAATATATTTTACATGACATATTAATTTGTTGAATATCGTCACAAAACGCCCCCCATAGCCAATTGCATTTGCTGAGGATTTAGGAAGACAGTATAATCTAAAGACTAAAGGTTACATATTCTGCATGGTAATAATCAACAGATACTATGTATGGTTGTGGCTTCGGTATTCAGTTTATCCTTTAAAGTCATTTTAGAGGTTATTTTTGCAAATTTTCCAAGGTACCTGGGATTTCACCAGAATTTTTGAGGCTGACTTATTTAAAAAGCTGAAGCCTGCTTATGTGATTGTGTTTCATTTTAATTGCACCTGCAGTGTGATAGTATCGGTTCTGTAAAATTAGCCCCTCCCTGCCCCACTAAAGCCAGGTTCGAAATTAGACAGAAACAATTTTTCAAAAATGTTCCCCTGGGATCAATGAAGTTTGTATTGTCTTACCTTAAAGTACCCTTGGAAACCACTTCTTCTCATGAATTGTATGTTTTTGGTTGGTGAAGTGCAACCAGACTTTCCAGAGGAATATGTAAGTTCAGCTTACAGAGTGTAGGGCACATCTAAATATTCACATAATGTTATTTATTTTAAACAAATTAACAAAAATCAGTAACATAATCCATCTACCCATAACCACCTATCCCAGGGGTAGGCGACCCTGATCCTGATCTCAGGCAGATAGTAACTCCTCAGGTAAGACAGAAAACCTGCTGGATACCAGCATTCCTGGGTTAGGGTTGTCTACCCCCCTTCGATGCGGTACTAGGCTGTCCTGATCCTATAACCTGTCCTTGGAAGCACATACCATAAAGCAACAGCCTGTGGCTAACACAAATTCACCGGAATTTGGAAGAACCTGGAGTACCCAGAGAAAATATACTCAACCACAGGAAGAACACAAACTCCAGACACAGTAATAATCAGTCAATGTTTTAATGAATAACTGAAACATAAGCTCGCAAAAAATTATACTGATTATGATTATGATTTAATTTCAGTAATATCCAGCTTTTAACCAGCTCCCTTTCACATAATGATTAATAGTCTCATATGATTAGTACAAAAATACAGCAGATTTTTCTGGCTTCATAACTACACTTGCATTGCACACTCCAAGTGAAAACCATTATGAAGGAATTATACCTGTTAGACGGGGTTAATGCAAAGTTACCATTTTCTGTATTCTGCCTTCCTGTCCTATACAGCAGTGACACTGGCAGTCATCAAGGTTGACCTACGTGAGATGGGATTTTCTCACGGTGCTTTGCAGCAAAGATTGTATTCAGCATGGAGGTGCTATTGTTGTTGTTGGTCTCCAGGGCGTGAAGTTCCCTTATGTAATCCGGGGGTAAGCCGTTCTGCTCAGCTCCCATGCATATGACCTGTGAAAGTTATTAAAACACACAAACATTCAACATGACATAGGCGGGCATCATTCAGAATGGCTTATCCCATACAGTGTCAAAATGAACTTGGGTGGCTTTCCCAGGAAACACAGGACATAAGGACGTGGACACCTGTAATTTATAGAAGGTGATGCACTTAAAAATGGGCAGTGGTAGCCTAACGGTTAGGGAAGAGCACGTGTACTTAAAAGATTGCTGGTTTGAATCCTCGACCGCCAAGGTACCACTCCCTTGGTGCTGAAACAGCTGCCCCCTGCTATATCACGATATCATGCATTGGTTAAATGCAGATGACACATTTTTAGAAAAAAAAATTGGAGTACCCTGAGTAAAGTTGCACAACCACAGGGAAAACACATAAACCTCGTACACAGAGGTGCGAGCGGAAATCAAGCCTGCAAGTTTGGGGTGCTATCACTCTAACACAATGGAGAAAAATCAGTTCAAATACACTGACAACTGCTTAGTTTGTAAACTTGCATTCTATGCATTTTTTTTATTTAACATTAACAATGAGGGAAAAAGACCAGAGATCAATGTCATTTGTCATGTCTTTTATTTATGTATCAGGTGTGATATTCTGAAAGGTGTCTGGCAGTGCCAGAACAGGCATACAGTACCTGCTTGTACTGAGGTGAGGCAAGCTTAGATGTGAAGTTATTCATTTGGTATGCATGACACAGGATCTCTCCATAGGTTGTGTTCACATTCACCTCCAGGGGGCGGTACAGACCACGGTCCACACCTTCCTGCCTTGAAGCACACAACCACCAAGTCATACGCATGTTTCAAGAGAGTGTTTTTCACCTGAGGCCTTAGAGATCTCCCTATGACATAAGCACTAATAGGGACCTGGCTCTCCAAATATTGTTGACTTCACTGTCTGTTCCAGTGAACAGCGGGACATCTGTATTTGTTTTTTGTATTCTAAAATGGTTTAGGAAGGAAAATACATTTGGTCACTGGCTCTGTAGCAGTTTTACACCGGTTGAAGCCCAAGCGGAGCCCAGGCCAAGTTTAAGATTAAGATTAAGATGAATTTCAGTGATCTCCGGGCGTGTTACTGACGGGTTGCTATGTTCTTGGAGCACTCCTCTGCCGTTGTTTGGAGAAGGACCTCTGGCAACTTGGTTCCTAGAGAACCAAGAGCACAGCCCCCCCCCCCGTCCAGGTCACCTACTTGTCCAGGTTTCTGCGATCCTCACTGCTAATCTTCCAGACAACTCCCCAGACTTCACTGTCCTTCTGCTCTTTGATTGTGGCCACCCCGCCTTGCCATGCAGTCTCATTTTCCATCAGTTCACCCCAAAGCCCAAACTTTAAGGCATAACCCTGAAACACCAAGGAAAACAGAATCATAGTTACCTGAAGGATGTTAGTTACGGTAATGCTGGGTTCCCCAATTACGGTCCTGGTTGGCCAGATCCGACACACTAAGCTGCAGAGGTCTTATGACAAAAGCGTCTGGCTCAATAAATAATATTAAGTGGAACTAGCTGTTAATTGCTCGTAGGGCGGGGTTCGGTTCAGCCTCAACATAAGAATATCTTTAAAATCGATTTACCTGATCTCATGTTTCAACAGTGTCATGTTCACTACAAACAATAAACCTATTATTACGACTATGTGAAACGTGCATTATTTACGTCACACGAAATACAGGTTTAGGTAAACTGGTAAACATAATGAATTTATAATAGTTATCATTCTCCCAAACGTAATTACTGCCTATTAATCATCATGTTATGGGCGAAGTCAGTACATCGGTAAACAATATTTAAATCACAAGCCCTCGTGAGTTCATGGACAGCAAACAACCGAAAATCCATAAGTAACTCTGGGAGCCTGGCAATGCTGTGATCTTCGTTATGAACAAATCGCTCCGTTCTGCAAAGTGATTAACTTATTTTTATATTTTAAATGCATTGAATTTACATTCATATTAATAGGTTTAGCATTACAAGCTTTGCCTTGCTTTTTTTAACACCAGCTACTTAAAGACTTAAGCTTAAAAATACGAGAAAACTAGTGGCAAAATTATTCTCTTATTCGTTGTTATATATTATTATTCAAACTGCAGGAATATCTGAAGGCAGACTGCCTTTTTTCTCCCAAAATAACAAATGTTTTAAATAGCCTAATAAATCTTGCATGGATTAAAAGAATAAGCTAATTAGGTTTAGAAAACATGAAAATAGACATGAAAGCAGCTCTTGCCTACCTTAATCTTCCCGGTGCTATTAAAGACCGCAGAAGGGCTGTTAAGGCGAAGCCTTTCCTTTAGTAAATTACTCGCGTACGCGAAGTACATAAAGTATCCGTTGCCATTCGTCGAGTGTGCTGTGACTGTTTTGTTGTGTTTTGTCGACTGCACCTCTTTCTGAAGCAAACTTAACAAAAGCAATCCACACGCAAACAAAGGTGCCATCCTAGGACGAGCTGAGTGTCAATGTGCGGCGCGCTGCCTTCGGTCTGAGGCTGAACCCAGCTGACTTTGCCCTTTAAACTCAGCCTGTCCCGTTTTGCCTTTGAGTTTTTGTTTAACAAATTACATTTGTTTAGGGAAATGAATGAAGGAAAATATTTACATTTCAGCTGTGCTTAGTGATGATTAAACTAAATAGGCCTATATTAACCAATATATTATACATGTTTTAACTCTATTTTGAAATGTTTCTAAATAAAACGAAATATATACATGAATTATGTAACTTCTATATTCCTTTCTTGTTTTTGGTAGCAAGATAGACCTAATCTAAAATATCTGTTTAAACTTACATTTAGGCCTTTAAGAGTGTGGTGCAAGTACCAGACAAATGGCGAACACGCGGAAATAAGTTTTCAGATAATTATTTATCTATCTGACTTACACTAAAATCAACAAATGCAGTTTTATTTCCTCCCATAATGTGGACAAACAATTTTGGGATAACATCTATTGCGGGTCTTGCAGACAGATGCCCACTTGTATATAACTGGTCCGTACCATGGTTAAAACAACCAAGGCCTATGTGAAGGGGTGCACAGAAAAGTCATTGCTAGTCAGACTGATGATTGGCTTTTTTCCTGGACTTCTTGACGGCTTTCTCCAGTTCATCCATCACAACTAGGGTGCCTTCATAGTTATTTGTCTGAATGGACCTTAGTTTTTTCTGATAGTCTTCCGGTAAACCATTCTGCTCTGCGCCCATAACGATCACCTGGAAGAGTGGAAACCAGGTAGAGATGAATCAACTCCCACAAGAGGACCCTGAGACTCCTAATTGAGGAAATTTGCACCTGGCTGTCCCCTTAAAATAAGATGGTAATTTTTAGTGACCCCTCCCCAACCCCAGGGACATATTTGTACAATATTTATTGACAATTTTTTACCATTGGTAAAACCAAAACTCTTTATGTATGTGGCTACAGTACTACCGTGAGGCAACTGACGTTTACAGCAGGGGACAATTATTACTGTAATTGTTAACCCTCAAAACTGGTGCAGAATCATCCTGAAACTTCACAAAGACAAGCAGACAAGCAATTGACATATTTATCTTCAATCAAACCCAAGTGCCAAGTGTCTATCATTGACAAAATATGGAAGGCATATTCCAGATTCTTCGGAGCAGGCAGGATGCAGGGCCTGCGAACATAATTGTATTCAATAGCTTCCAAAACCCTAAACGAGCTGCCACGGAAACCATTATCTCAGCCTCACAATGGATTGTCAGGATCAGGAGAGCCATACACAGGAGAGCCACACGCAGCCATCCAGCCCAGGTGATGTCATAATGTCTTGCTGAGAGCAGCCAGTCATCTGATTTGAATAATTTGTTTAGTTTACCAGTTCATTTAAATGATGGTAACTCAAAACACCTTGCTGTTCATGTACAGAAGAGCACAACAACACAATGTAAAATGTTTCTTATTGTTTGGGAAAATATTTCCTTCAACATGAACTTGGCAGTAAATTGATATTTAATTCAATTTAATTTAATTTCCATTTCATCTGCCCATCTTCCTTTTGTTATTAGAATCATGCTGTCTTGTATAAAGGTTACAAGAATCCCAAAGCCTTTTACAATTCTTAAACTGCTTTAAAAAAATGTTTTTTGTTTTTTTTTTTTTCTTGGTTTGTGTATTTTTCTTTCTTTGCATTCCAAATAAACACTCAGTATTTGTTATTCACCGCCTGATGCAAAGCGTCTCTCCGCGTTCACTTCAGGCGTCCTGAAGAAAAGGAAGCGATAAAGTTATGGAGGAGTATTGGACAGGAGAGGGAGTGCCACACCTTCAGGTACTGTGGAGACGGCGAGGCGTACACACAGCTGTTCATGATGTAGGTACGACACGTGATCTTCTGTCCGGCTGCCCATACTGATACCTCCACAGGGCTGTAGATGCCGGACCTCACGTTCTCCTGTCTGGTGAGGTAGAGAGGACATACAAATACTGCCCCTGTGTCACTCATGAAATATAACACTGTCTTACATTACCTTTCACTTATCAGTTAAGGAATATCATCACATTCTGTATATTCCCATTAACAATGTCATTAATGCACTAAGGTTCACTTTACTTATATGCTGCAAGCTGCTGCAGATTTAACACATCTTCGGGGGCCAGGATTACAAATCCCTGTCACCGGGTCGATTAAACACACATTAAGAGCATTCTTGCCTATCCAGGGATTCAAGGTCATCAATGTTCATTTCCCACACCACACCCAACACATCTTCCCCGGAACTGTGCTCAATGGTGGCCACGCCCCCATGCCAGCGGTTGCTTGGCAACCCCCGGTGATTCCCAAACACCAGCTTATGGTCCTGGAAAAAAAGGGGAAGGAGAAAAGTGATGTATTTTCTGTAGACTGGAAGGCTTATTTGAGTAATTCACCGAATTGTTTCTGTTACATTCTGGATTATTGCGGATCTGTACGGCCATGACACATGGCATAAACTCTCAGAGAGGAGCCATGGTGCATTATTGTGTTTCTGTGTCAGAGACAAAGGGCCATTTTTTTCCTAGTCCTGCAAAACACAGCTGTAGTTCCAGTTGTAGCTGCCAGACTCAGAATATGGTTTTCATTCTTTTAGCAGTGAACGTGTAGTGGAGGCCTCTCCTCACCATAAAGACAATGTCCAGCAAAGCTGTCACTCTGCTCAAACTCGCCTAAAAGCACATTGTTTGGAAGCATCACATTACTGTCTCTCAAAATGCTTGGGTTGGCACAATGCTGACAGTGACAGTTCTAATAGTCGCAGCTCAGCGATGAGACTAACCACTTCGTCGATCGTTGGGTGACATTTTAGTTGTTACAGTCCGAACCTTGGCCTTCATACAATGCTAAAAGGTATAGCCTTAATGGAGACAGCTTTAACAGTTTCAGTCCTATTGGTAATATCCGAATAATGTAAAATATTTAACAGAAATAAGTTGAAATACTAGAGGTAAGAGTTCTACCAGACATGTAGCATGAAAACAATCATAGTTGTAGAACATATAGTCCCAACTGTACCCAGAACTCATAGTAAGAGTCTTACAAGTTGCAGTCTTAGCAGAATGACTCCTACTGATTACAGTCATAAACAGACAGACGAAACAGTAACAGTTACAGTCTGAGCAGTGGCATTCTACACAGTAACAATTTTAATAGTCCTACGAGTGACATTTTTATAGGCTGCACTGTTAGCAGTTACAGCCGTTAAGAGTAATAAAAATAATAACAGTGTAGAGGGCTGCAGTCTAGAGGTCTTCGAAGAAGCACGAGGAAAGGTGTCTGGTAGCATCCTGACAGCTGCTCGTCTGCTTTACAGGAAGCCAGGGGTGACGTACCGTTAGCCGGGCCACGCAGAGCGCTTTGGCGGAGGGATTCTCCAGCTGCAGCCTCTCCTTCAGCAGGTTGCTTCCATAGGCAAAGTACAGGAAGGATGCCTGGTTCATGCTGTCAGCAGCTTCTGAGGGGAACAGGAAGAGGAAATGGAGGAACAGGGAGAAGAGGAGCATGAGAATGCAGCGGCAGCACGCTCAGCAGCGGCGTGGAGGCAGGCCGGCGGAGAGAAGCGTGAATCGCTGGCAGCTGGGGGGGAGAATGAGCTTTGGTCAGACAGAATGTTAGCAGTGCCGCCCCCCCAAGGGCTTTTACACCAGGCCTCATTCTCGCACAAATCCTGCCAGGCCTCTTCCCGGTAGCTCAACGGTGACCTCTAGTGCCCACAAGCTTGCTATTACATTCTGTACAACCTCATAGCAGTGATGTTCACACCTCACGTTCAATTAGCATTTGGGTTTTAAGTTTCATGTCTAAGTATGATAGAGGAAGTATTTTCACATTTTTGACCCATTGATAGCGAGTTTATGAAATTGTTGAGTGGCCGTTTTTAACAGCTTGATATTTCCTGAAGGAATCTAGATTAAGCAATCTGCTCAACAGCAACACAGCTGACCTGGCCGACACAAGAAAACATTTTCTGAGCAGGTGCTGCACAAAAGCATTTTTCCACTAAAGAGGGAGGAGGAGATCAGGAATAGCAGGCGGGTGACGTGGTTGCCTATCACTGGGCATTTATGTGCCTGCTTTCCAGAGCGAAACTCAATACCCAGAACAGACAATACAATTCAATAGCTGAACAAGTGCACTAAATTTCCAGATTTACCAGCACAGACTCAGCTGTAGCTTAACCTAAACAGCACCCAGCACATTGTTTTTACTTTCATTGTACGTTTCAATGTATTATGATTCATTTTGATCTTTTTTTGATACTCTCCAAGTTAGATTCATATAAGTGGAAAAAGTCTGGTGTTTACAAAAAACGATTTACAGAATGTTATTTACTTTTGGTCCTTTCTGTCATTCAGACCTCCAGGTGTGATATATATATATACAGCAATTGTATTATTTGTTTGTCTGTCTGCCTATTTATTTATTTATTATCAGGCAAATCATTTTTGAGGTTTTTTGAACATATGTCCTTATCTGAGGATCAAAAAAAAATCAAATTATTACTATATCTGCAACCTGTGTGCTGATTAAATATTTGCTTTTGATATTCCACATTCTGGAAGGCATTTGTGTAACCATGGCAAATTCTGGCACCAGCATCTGCATTCTGGGGCTTGAAGCTGTGAGACCAACTCGTGACACATCGGATGACTTACCCCGAGAGGGGAAGAGCAGAGAGGCTCGTCACAAACACCACCGTGATAATGCCAGGGCCAGTCCCAGACAGTATGGTGTTTGACAGATGGTGAAAGTGCTTGGTTATCTTCTCCTTCTGTTTCTATAATGATCCCATGTTCTCTCACTCCACTGCCTCTTTGCCCCCTTTTCCACCCAGGTGGACTCAGCAAGGGTCTGGAGGGTCCTTCAGCCAAAATTGTTGCCATTTGACTGCCAAAATTATAGCATCACTAAGCAACCAACAAAAACTGAATTGCCCATGCTAATTCCAGAATGTGTCATGCTTTATGTTGGGGGTATCCATGTACTGAACTTGCACTTCTTTTATGGGTGTAGTATTAAATTGCACCACCAGATGGTGATATGCGAACTGAGCTTAATTATTACTGCAAAGCACAACATGCTCATCAGGACGGGAACAAAACAGTTCTTCAAGGTTTCTATGAAAATGAATGGAAAGTCATCCGTTGTACATGTCAGTTGTTGTTAATGTAACATACAAGACCTCAGGGAATTGTTAGCATAGTTATGAAAAAGACAAGACATTTATTCAATGTGTTTTCTGCATTTTGGCCAATCGTGATTTTTTTCACTCGCATGGTCCTTGAGCAAAACATCTTTATTATTATTTGTGTCAGGGTCAGCACCCATCCGACCCTGCCTTTCATGTCTTCTCCCTGTTTGACAGCGGGTGTTGCTGGGCAGCCTCTTCCCCCACGTCACTCGCCCTTCAGCCCCTATGTGCTTCCCCTGGCCCCTGGACTGTGCTATCGCTCAGTGGGCTGAGTGTGTGGCTTAGACTGAGATCCGGTGAGTTCAAAGCTGACTAGCAACAAGCCTCATCTATTCTGTTTTGTTTCGTTTTTTGTTTTCCCTGGTGTTATTGGTTGTCGATGCTTTTCTCTTTTTGGTGTTTTTGTATTTCCGTTTGCTCCTTGTCCCATCTACTCAGGTTTCCTTCTTTTAGTTAACTCTTAGTGTTTGTTCATTTTCCCTACTCTCCAGTGCTGTTTAATTGTAATATGCCACACCTGTTCCTTCTTTACCTCAAGCTTAATTGGTTATGATTCTCACCTGTCCTGTATTGTGTCTCGTTAGCTGTGTATTTGAGTGCCTGCTCTGCTTCTGTTCTTTGATGGTTCATTGTAGTTGTACGTCTGTGTTTGGAATGGTTGTTATACTGTGCTGCCTAGTCTTGCTCATTGTGTTCTCTTAGTTCTCAAGTAGTGTTCATTCCATGCTCTAGTTTATTCCTGGTTTTTGTTTTTCCTCATTTGCTTTTGCTCCCTCCTGGTCCTTTTCTGTTTGTGCTTTCTCCATTGTGTTCTGTTTTATTAATAAACAAGTGGATCGTCGCCTTTTTCCCATCCGCACCATGCCACACCACAACAATTTTGCATGACATACGCCTATTGTCTTTATGAAATTTGAACAAATGCATAGAGATGTACAATATATTGGTAACATACTGTTATTGCCAGCCAATATTTAAACTTTATCAATATTCAAAGTTAGCAGCACTAGATCTAAAGACAGAACTATGAATAGAACTAATGGAGATAATTGCAGTAGACAGGGGTGGCCAGTGTTATCCTCAAAGGGCGAATGTGTATGCAGGTTTTTGGGATAACCTTTAGGTCATCTGATCAAACCCAGGTGTAAAGACTCTTCAGCCAATCACTTCTCTAATTAATAATATAATTAGGGAGTTGCAGCAAAAACTCACATACCCAACGGCCCTTTTTGGATAAGATTACCCACCCCTGCAGTAGACAATAATGGAGATGATTGCAGAAGACAGAGGACAAAAGATTTTGTCGGTTCATTCACCACTCAAAGGGATCTCAAAGTATCAGCCCACAACAACATTATAATTCATTATGAAATCCTTTCTGTAGATTGATCCTTTGTTTTACGATGTAATGTCATTCCACTAATCTAAGCTCGACAAATTTCTAAAGCGGCTTGCTCAAATGAACATTCACCATGTCCTCAAAACTGATTGTGAGGAAGAACTGTGACAATTTGATCCATCCAACCAGGAGGCAGAGAATCAAGTTAAAAACATTAATTGGTGGGTTGGTGTGTGTATTTGGTTGGGGCAAAAGTGCCTCCCCTGAGATAAAATCCCACAGGCACCCAGTACAAAAGTTTGCACTATGGAGTAACAAAGAAAGTTCTAATGTACCAACTTCAGCTCTACATTTCATCAATGATTTGCTTCTAAGATATGTGGTGTGTTTATTTCTAACTTTGAAGCAACACACTGAACCACAGTTTAAATGTAAGTAATGTAACAACAATTTTGTCGCAAATAGTCACACTCTTTATATCGGTTAAATAGGCTATTTTTGGTTCATTTCTATGAGTGATCCTAGCTGTTTCTAAAACACTTAAATGTCAAAGCTGAAATAAATTGAAAACCTAAACAGAAAATCCCCCCCGACAGAAAGCAACTACACATTGAGTACATAAATACAGCACCACACAGTTTTCAGAGTATTTTCTGAAATAGTTTTATGTTCATGGAAACATTCGATGTTGGCTATGAGTTATTTGTTTCTTATTGCATTGATGAGAACATGGGCAAAGCACAGTGAACTTCGTATGGCCTGGAGTTCATTGTCTTGCTGGTCCTTTCCAGATCTTCACAAGCAAGATGTGTTTTTCACTGAGAAACAAATGTGTCCAACCTGCAAGAGTCCTGCAGATAATGGAGGTCAACCAGAGAGTACAGTTGTTCAAATCCGCATCAGTCAGCAAACATCCCCCTCCTGTAGACCGAATTCGCCGTCCGCCCCCACATGTTCTGACCCCTCCTGGTGGGGACTCACCCACTGCTCATAGCAGCCCAGTGGGACACACATGACACAGCTGGGGCCCATTGTCCTGGGACCATCTCAGTAAATAAACGCGAGATTCCGCTGCCCAGCAGAATTCTGGGAGGCCGCAGCCTCATCTGCTGACCTGCCTGTGGGCTGGAGTGTGAATAAAGCGTTTTCCAGTTACTCAGCTGTGTTTTTCACTGGGGTCCCTGCTCCTCACTGGGACAGCACCAGCATCCTGAGCGCCGCATCCAGAGCAACTCTGCAACACCTGCGCTGGAGCCTTCAGTGAACATGAGGAGGTCTGATGTCATACTAGTCCATCCTGAGCCAAAACTTGCATCTGTCATCAAGCGTCCTGATTTCAGACGCTCCCCCTCTCTGCCCTGTCACCCCAGCAAAACAGTCTCCCCAAGGGAAGGTGTTCAATTACCCAACAAGCAACAACCTTTGCAATGCAACCTTTGTATTTAATCTAGAAATATGAAAGCTGATTATTTGTGAGACCGTGGTGTAGTGTGGGAACATGGTTTTGAGCCAGACTAACAAAGACAACTTGCTCTTACCTCTTGCAAGAAATGATGGTATATTGGACATATGTCCGGTCAGAATGGATTTCATAAATAATGCAAGCAGTAGAGGAGCTGAACTATCAATCAGATGATGGTAGGTTCAAATCCCATTCTCTGCTTCAACAGTTTAAATCAGTATACAGAATTCTCACCAAAACATAGAAACAGCATGTCTTCAAGACCATAAATAGACATGGAGAACATTCTGGAATTGTCTCAACACAATATACTGAGATATATTTTTCATCAGATTAATATTGCACAAAATCATAATTAAATATAGGCCACAAGTAGTCAGGTTAACAGTTTTGAGCTGGAATTTTTTACTGTAACTGTATCTATTAATCAATTTTATTATATTCGAAATATTTCCCAAGGTTAAAGGTCCGCAAAGATTAATTTATATTAGTTGAACACTGTATGTGTTTTCAAAACCGCGAGTTTATTATCAAATGGGTCTGAATAAAGTAAATAATTCGCTCTGAAGATAAAGGATACACAAATAATCATACAAAACTTGAGCAGCACTTGATTATAAAAACATTTTATTACCGTTAATACTACCGTCATCTCGTCTCCAACACGCAGCAATTTCCCAGGCAGACTCGGTGTGTATAGTGCATTCAAATGTTCAGAAACAATGCACACACATGTGCCAAAAAGGTGGCATAAAACAGTGTTGGAGGAAATACTTTATCAGTTGGATGAAGACGCCAAAAGAAAAAAAACACCGCCAATTAAACATTCACCTGAGTTGTGTAAGTTGTGCTGGTTTAAAAGGACAGCCCTCCCTCGTCACTTTACTGGAATAAGCGCTTCTTGAAAGAGTTCAGGAAAGCGCCAGCAAAAAGCGCAACTGGTTTACACTTAAACCTCGAAGTGATTTCTTTGACACATGTTTCCGTTAATTGTAAGCTGAGCAGAGATCTGAGAGGGTTTGTATTGGTTTAATCTTCTGGATGCAGTGATGGAGAAGGGGAACACGAGACCGTCGTGGGACAATCCCATGCAGTTCGTCCTCGCCTGTGTGTCCTATGCGGTGGGACTGGGAAACGTGTGGCGTTTTCCATATCTCTGTCAAATGCACGGAGGAGGTAGGAATCAGATTTTCCCAGCTAGTCCTTGTGGTTTTTTTAACCCGCACATTGATCGTTTCAGACGGGGCACCCATGGTTTTAGTGAATGGTTACACTAACCGTGTTTGTTTTGTTCTGTCCCGATGATTGTTCAATGGAAAACTGCAATAAACCAATGACAAGGTACAGTCCAACACCACCTATTCAGAGCATTTACCTCACCTTGACCGAATATTGGAGCACTGGGCATGTTGTTTCCTGACTTTTCTCAACATCTGTCCACAGTGTTATCTCCCTAACTGCAAAAAGAAGGGGACGGGCGGTTTGTGTGAAATTTATGTTTTCACACATTACAAATGTGTGACAAAGTAGAGCATTACGATGTGGGGAAAGTTGTCACAATGTAATCAATTAACAATTAACTACAAGTAACCCAAAGTGAAATTGTGAGTGCGGCGATATATTTGTTACTAAATTGCGCTGTAGCCTATTTGTGTATTTGTGTTAATGTTATTACAGTTCATTAAAATAACACTTGCATATGTATACAGATAATGCTCACATATAAACCTATCATAAACATGACTCAAAATATATTCCATTGCATATCCTTAGACAATATTTAAAAAGTAAAACAGTATAAGGTAAAACTTGTAATTAAAGGGGATGCTTTAAATTTATAGCAATAGTAATCAGTATTTTGTTGAATATGACAATGACACACACACTCTGAGGGATTATGGATTATTTATACATTATATGCATTATACTCTCCTAAAACAAAAAATAGAAAAATCAAGGATCTCAAACTTTTCAGTCCATGACCCCCGAAATACAAAGTATCGATGCCTTGGGTCCCCTTCATTACATGTATCATGATCAACCAGTTGTGGTTATGGTTACAAATTCTTATAAACGTACTCCAAAAATCATCTCGCGACCCCCACTTTGGGTACCCCTGCCTTAAATCAGAAAATATTTAGAATATACAACCTATTGTTGACATTTGAATGGTCAGAATTGCTAAATATTCCACTTCCTCGTTGTGTTTGACAAACAAGAACCAGCTGATGATGTCAGACAGAGAGGCATGTCGTTGGATGTCAGTATTCACTGTCTTCAACCCCTAGAGGAAAAATGATTTGCTGTGAGGCAGCTTACTCCTGTGGCAGCTAGTCCCAGCATCTCCATCCAAACTGGATTTGTGCATAGGAACATTTTCGACTGCAAAAATGTAATGTCAAGCAGGAACATGCCCTATTCTTAGATGAATTGTATAGAAACATAACTTGATTGTGTACTGCACACCTTCTTAGCAGAATTTCAGAAGCGTTTTGCAGATTCACTGCTTCCACAGTTACATTCAGTTGTCCGCGTAGATCATATCTGCTGCCGAACACCAGATACATCGAAGAGAAGTTGTTTTTTTCCAGAAAGTAGAAATGGGAATGTTTCAGTGGCTAGCACTGTGACCCCATGCTCCTGCGTTTGGCGAATCGGAACCTGCTTGTGCTGTGCGTGTGCAGTTTTCTTGTCTCCGTTGTGTTGCACAAGGTTCCTCCAGGTATTTTCCAATCCCAAAGTACAGAGACATGCAATTATGTGAACCCGTATCTCTGAATTGTCTATAGTGCACAATTGTGTGTGTGTGTGTGTGTGTCTGTGTGCATCATGATGCATGATGTTTATTTGCATTTAAACCCCAGGCCCACGTACTTGTGTTGGCTGTTTAGTTATAATATGGGCATTCAGGAGTGACAGTTAGCAGGGTAAGCATTCCAGTGTTGACCCTCGCCTAACATCTTGCTCCCAGGTGGATTCCTGATACCCTACCTGATCATGCTGGTCCTGGAGGGGCTTCCCCTCTTCTGCATGGAGTTAGCCATTGGCCAGAGAATGCGCCTAGGCAGTATTGGGGCTTGGAGCGCCATCAGCCCCTATCTGGGGGGTGTGGGTGAGTGAGATCATTCAAGGACTACATTTCACAGAAATCTGCAGGAGATGTTTTAACAATATGTCCAAGAGGGTCTAGCTGCAGACCCCTGTAGAGTGGAGCTCCACCCGAAATACGTCACCTCCACAGGAAACACGTGATCTTTATGGACGTAAAGTGGAGCTCTGGTTAGGGTTAGGGTTAGGATTAGGGTTAGGGTTAAGGTTAAGGTTAGGGTTTATTCACTGTGACACAGAGTTGAGGCCACGTGTTTCCTGTGGAGGTGATGTATTTCCGGTGGAGCTCCACTCTACAGGCGTCTGCAGCTGGACAGTTCTCAATATGTCTTTAACCCAGGGAATTCTGTAGAGGAAAGAAAAATAAATCTTTGATTATATATTAGCTATCTGTGCAGGTGACAGTTAAACCAAGATGACACCAGTCTTGCCCTTTGACCTCCTCAGCCTTTTGGGATTTGTGAACCATTGTAGCATGCAGCTGACACTCTTCATGTGTGTCACTATTGCCCCAGCAACCATGAAGATAACACAGTACTAGTAGCTGATGAGAATTACGTAGGTGTGCAACAAGGTTTAACACTCACTTTACTGCTGTCTAGGCATTGCAAGTGTGGTCACCTCAATATATCTCTGCTTGTACTACAATGTGATCAACGCTTGGTCCTTCTGGTACCTCTTTCATTCGTTTCAGGTGAGTGCAACAACTTGCATTTTGCCCAATATTCACTTCTAAGGAAATGATGGTCGGAACTGTGTTTTATGGATCTTGGGGCCGTTCGAGTCAAACTCAGCACAGCAATGTCAATGCAGCTAGCTTCAGGATGCTGGATTTCAAAATCCGCTTTTGTGAAGAAACTTAGAGCTGTTTACTGTAGGTGAGCACACCTGAATTGTTTTTAATAAAAACCAGCACAACAAGTCAAGTTTTTAAAAACAATGAATGTACACGCTAAACAAATAAGCTTTAGGGTGACAAAGGAGTTACCCTAAAATTAATGGATGATGATTTTCTGCCTGTAAGGCTTGCTTCAGGTGGGATGGAAAGCGAGGTCACATGACACAGGGAGGATAACAAAAACAAAATACAGCATTTTCAGTGTCATGAAACAAGTCAGGCGCCTGGTTACAAACATGGGCTACAAACATGGTTCGGTCAAGCTGCAGGCAGAATAGACAGTTGCCCAGGGCCCCTGAATTACCTGCATTGTGGAGGAAGTGAAATGATCAGTTTTCATGGTGGGGGGGTCTCCCAAGTAAAGCTTTGCCTAGGGATCTAAAAAGGTAGAGCGAGCCCTGGCTAGAAACTGGGTGTAGGTGAAAACATCAGGGACTGGGTGTTGGTAATGACCGAATGACATCACATGACGCCACACATGGTGAGTCTGTGTGTGGTCCCCCCGCCCCTTGCAGGCTGTACTCCCCTGGGCCCATTGCCCAGCAAACACCAACCTGACAGGCCACCTGGAGGAATGTGAAGCGGCCACACCCACCCAGTACTTCTTCTACAGAGAGACCCTGAACATCAGCCCCACCATTAACGACGGCGGTGGCATGCACATGGGCCAGGCGCTCTGCCTCCTGCTGGCCTGGATGCTCGTCTACATCTGCATTGTGCGTGGGGTGGCATCTACGGGAAAGGTAGCCCTGGTCCACCTGCTTTTTTTTATCTTTAGGGTAAAGAGACCTTCTTGATCGCAGACAAGAATCAGTTAAGGAGGTTCATGTACATTGTGCCATGATCCTGGGGGGCCGGAGCCCTGTGTAGCTTAGTTCTTTCCCTGTTCCCCCAGAAATGATTCAGCTCAAGAGCTGTGTGGTAATTAGCACAAGGAGTTGAATCAGGCGTGTTAAATGAGGGTAAACCAAAAACTGTGCAGGGCTCTGGACCCCCAGGACTGGAGTATGACACCCCTGGTGTAATGCATTGTGGTCATTATGCTGAATTTTTGAATCTCAGGGAAACTGAGAAAAAAGTGATTCAGACAAGGTAACAGAAGATTTGAGACCTCTATGCAAGTAAATTATATAAATGTAGCTCTGAGGGTCAAAAGTGAAGTTGAATATGGAGTTAAAATTGAAAAACACGGCAGATGTGGAACAAATGTATCATCAGAAGGGTAAGGGGTCTGATTGTGTCAGAATATTCCAGAAAGGCATCCGAACATTCATCAAAGGAGCTTCCAGCTGCGTATTCTGGTCAAGGTCAAGGGAGGAGCTCATGACTGTATAATCTGTTCAGTAGCAGTGTTGGTGTCGAGCGAGCAAGTGGGGGAGTGATCACCAGTCCGTGTCATGTCTTATGGAAATGTAGACCTTCATGCCTCTCCCAGGTGGTCTACTTCACGGCCAGTTTCCCCTACCTGGTGCTGTTCATCTACTTGATCCGAGGGGTAACCCTGCACGGAGCCGTTAATGGTCTGAAGTACATGTTCACGCCCAAGGTAACACGCACAGTGGGTTTATAACACAGGCAGATAACTGTCAACTGAAATGGGGTTTAGCGATGCTAACGATCTAATGTGTCTCCTTATGGAGCTGGAGCAGTTAGCAAACCCTACGACGTGGATCAACGCCGCCACGCAAATCTTCTTCTCCCTGGGCCTTGGCTTCGGCTCCCTCATTGCCTTCGCCAGCTACAACAACCACAACAACAACTTCGAGCGCCAGGCCATTGCTGTGTCCCTCATCAACAGTGGCACCTCCATCTTTGCCAGCGTGGTAACTTTCTCCATCTATGGCTTCAAGGCCACCTTCAACTACGAAGCCTGCTTGGGGAGGTGAGCCTTTCGGTGGGATCACATGGTTTTTAGACGCAGCTCCATCGTCCTAGATTGTAAATCAACACTCATTTCTCCTATGTGTGAGATGTTCATTTGATTAATGATTACACATAATTTTTGTGATAACGTTTTAATTACCTGGCATTTATTGGACCATAAAGACGGCAACGTAATGATACGAGTAAGGCCAGAAGCAAATATTTTAACAGTTCACTGACTTTTGTCCTCTGCAGACTGCGTTTGCTGCTGTTAAACACATTTGACTTGGGCGAAGATGCGATCAGTGTGGACAATGTGACCTTTTGGGTCACAGAGCTAAACCAAACATACCCAGACCGGTTTGCTACGTTGTCCAACAAGCTGGAAATCTGCAGCCTGGAGACTGAACTGGACACAGTAATGAAGCACATTTTATAGTGGGGTGTCAGTCCTACAGACTCACTGCCCTGGTGCTGTTATGAGTGAAATGTCAGTTTCATTAGGACCTTCCATGGAATCATGAAAAATTCTGTAAATGTTCTATTTCCATAGTCCTAATGCACGCTAGGGTTTATGAAGCTGTGCATCATATGAGCTGACATTCACAGATCAAAGTTGTTGGTTCCAGTCTTACCTGGTCCCACTGCTCATGGTGAGATGTGATGTGCGCCCCCTCCAGGCGGTGGAAGGAACAGGCTTGGCCTTCATCGTGTACAGCGAGGCCATCAAGAACATGCCGGTGCCTCAGCTGTGGTCTGTGCTCTACTTCTCCATGCTGCTCATGCTTGGCCTGGGAAGCATGCTGGGAAACGTGACGGCCATCACCACTCCGCTGTGTGACATCCGCTTCCTGTCCCGCCACCTCAGCAACGAGACCCTGAACGGTGCGTGCGTCCAGGCTGAGGGCTGGTGGCTTGCTCGAAACATTATTGGTTCTGTTGGGTGATTTTGTTGTGGAAGTAAATTGATTCAATAATGAAATAATTTCATAATGTACAAACACATAATTTTTTATAATTGGAATTTAGATTAAAACTTTACAACACGGAAATGCCCAAAAAATGTTAATTATAGTAAAATAAAGTAAGGAATCCACCCACCCGTCCTTTTTATATACCCGTTTGTCCAATTCAGGGTTGATAAAGCTAAAGTAAGGGATTTAAATTATTTATTATGCACTGATATACTTATTAATGAACAAGCTGCTCTTTTTTCTTTGCATAGCAAGGGAAAAATAAACAAGGAGGTCTACAGATCATCATGATATGCATATGTTAAGTAGGAGTGTAACGGTACACGTATTCATACCGAAATTTTTCGGTACGGGTTCGGTATGCATATGTACTGAACAAATGCAGTAAATGCGGAACCTTTGTATGTTTGTGTGTTTCCCCCATACAACATTCGGAAATGGGCGGATGAAGCCGCATCACTACGCAAGCATGCGTACGCCCTAATGTAAAGCTGGAAGTTGATAATGTGAATGCAAGTACAGCGCAGGTATTTTTAAGTGCTGCACCATAATGGATATTTATTTTGTTATGCTTTGTATTTTTTGAGACAATATTTGTGCTGCACAGTTCTAATATGAAGCTGAAAGCTGCAAATATGAATACAGTACAGATCAGGTACAGTTAATTTTCTAAATGTGCACCTTAATGGATATTTATTTTTATTTATTTGTGAGAATATTTATTTTGATTTAATTTTAAGTAAATTTTAGCTTTTTATTAGTAGGTTGCAGCAGTATTGACAGAGATTTTTTCTTTAAGACGGTCATACTTTGTTCAGTAAACCACTGTTAAATAAAGAAAAAAAGAAGCAATTTATGTTTTGTTTCTTTTATCGCTGCTATACCGAAAATGTACCGAACTGTTACCTCAAAACCGAGGCAGGTACCAAACTGTTACCTCAAAACCGAGGCAGGTACCTAACTGTTACCTCAAAACTGAGGCACGCACCGAACTGTGACCTCAAAACTGAGGCACGCACCGAACTGTGACCTCAAAACTGAGGCAGGTACGGAACTGTGACCTCAAAACCTTGGCACGTACCAAACTGTACATTTTCTGTGTACCGTTACACCCCCAAAGTCAACAGCGCTAAACACGACACCTTCACCTCATCATATCCTAAGCCAGTGTTTCCCAACCCGATCCTTGGAGACTCCCATACCAGGAGGTGGGGAACCAAAGACGTGGACCGTCTGCAGGTCCCTGGGGACTGGGTTGGGAAACCCTGTCCTAAGCTGTAGGCTTCCCATCCTCTCCCTCAGGGTCTGCTAGTATTTATTTATTTCCTTTAAAATCAAGATTATTTTCATCTAATAAATAGGTCTATGAAAGCTGTTCACTGTATGTAATCTGTATGCTATTAAGAGTGTTCTGCGTAAAATATTGAGCTAGATAAGCCAGGAAACCAGTACTCTCTGCCTTAGTCTCATAACTATCCCCCAGTGTACAGGATGATGGGTGCAGGACTAACCCCCCCACATCCCTGCCTGGGCATGGTGGTGTCATAAATCAGAAAGGTTTTACCCTTAGGAGGGGAGACCTGTCAGAGGAGATGTTCAAATAGAAAGTATTTTGCAACTGTTGAGACAGAGCTGAATGTTTTTTTCCTTGGTGCTGAATTAAAAAAAGTTTAGCAATACCAAAGGTATCTGATATCTGCTAGAAGCTTATCAAAGAGTTACTCACATAGAGATCCCCTACGGCCTTTATCCCTATTACCACCCAATATTTAAATACTATATAACTCACAGCATCAGGGGCAATATGGTTATCTTGAAATGGGTAGTTAGTCAATAAGCTTTAATAAAATGTGTTAAGAATTGAGGGGGTTTTAGATTAATTCGAGCCCATAAAAGGAATGACCTGCAAGGGAATCAGATTTATTGTGTTCTACTCTGCTGAAACTTATCAGGGATTGATATCTTTGGTAAGCAGCCAGATCTAATTATGTTGGAACTGAAACTAATTAATAGCCCCGAAAATTAGATAGCCAAAGTTCACCTATAGAGTACGGTGCTTGTATTTTACCAAGCTAGATCCTAGGACAACTTTAGCAAATTCTTTAAAGTACATGAAGGAATGTTACATTTATATCACATTTTTCAAGACACCCAAAGCGCTTCAAAGATCCAATGGGGAGCCACGTCAACCACCACCACTGCGTAGCCCCCACCTGGATGATGTGACGGCAGCCATTCTGCACCAGTGCTCTGACCTCACGGTAGCTATGGTGGTGAAGCGGCAGGAGAGAATTCACCAATTAGATATAGGGGATGATTAAGAGGCCAGATCTGATAGGGCAATAGTGGGCAATTTAGTCAGGACATTGGGATACCACCCCTATTACATCTTAGTTATCTTTAAGGACAGATATTGAAATAGATCATTAGTATGATCTTCGTCTTTTAACAAAACCTGTTTGATACACTCACATGAATTTTGGGATTTTCGAGCGAATGTTTCAGTTATAATTGACACTGCAGAGGTCTGTACCATGATCAGCTTCTCCAGACGCCTTTAGTGCAAATCCCTTGTCCCATCCATGGTGGATGTTCATTGCTGCCTCTTTCCTCACAGGCCTCGTCTGCCTCTTCTGCCTCCTTCTTGGCCTTGGCTTCACCACCCGCTCAGGGAATTACTGGCTCACCATGTTCAATGACTACGGCGCCACCTTGTCGTTGCTCTTCATCGTGCTC